CCTTTTAGGGTCCCTCTCTGATTCCCCTTCAGGAAATGTAATAGAGGAAAAAAAAAACCTACATTCGTCAGTAATTCTGGGGTAACCACAACTTAGACAGTAAGCAGGTCAATTGAAATAAGGACAGTGATTGCTATAAAACCGACAGGTGCTCTCATTGACACAGCACAGGCGACATTTGACACGGGGCGACACCACACACACATACGTACAGGAAGAATTTACTACACAAAGCAGACAACCAGAGCAAAATGACAAAGACCATCCTGTGCAACATAGCCATGGTGAGTAAAAATAATTGCTGTTCAGTAGCGGTCAGCCCTAGGATTTCAGGATAGCAGATTTCCAAGGAATTAGGTTTGATTGGGGTCTTTATTGGTATTCTTTCTTAAAAGCAGAACCGACTTTAATTTTGATCCCTGTCTGGTGGAGGAAAAAGAAAAAAATAACTAGAAGTTATAATGGGGTATAAAACAGAGCTCCTCATGTGGTGGCTTTTGCATAGGTGATTGATAGCTTGCTCACTCTTGGTGTCACAGACAGCTGAACATGATCTCTCCTGTGGCCACCATTATAGAGTTAGGTTGGTCTAAAACTCTTATTTCATGGTGAGGACTTCCAGCCTCTTAGGATCTGTACACATGTATTTTAGCCAAGGATAGTGAGGCTCCAGGAGGTTTAATGACTCCCCTAAGACTATAAGTAGACAAAGAGTGCCCAGGATGAAAGAAGTGGAACCACCCAGTGTTGAACTTTGGATAGCTCCCAGAGGAGGGAAATTGGCTGTGCCTAAGACAGCTGATTATTTTTGCATTGTCTCATTTCTCATGGAGGAGAGAGAGATGTTAGTATAATGGAAAGCACCTCTTTTGGGTCTAGAATCTTGCCTGACATCAGTCAGGTAAAGGCTGGGAAGAATATAATTTAGAGGAGCTTGAAAACAGGGCTTGGGAAATTATTCACCATATTATTGGCTTAAATAAACCCTCTTTTTTTTTTTTCTCCATTTACAAGCCACGTCATTTAAAAGAGCTTGGATTTCATAAAAGGTCATAGTATATGGTGATGATAACACCATATTTAGGTATTTTAGAGATGACCAGAAATGCAGCCAAGTGTAACAGTTTGAGAGCACATAGGCTTTGGAGTCAGTCCTAGATCCACTACTTACTAAATGTGGGATTTGGGATCAATTACTTAGCTGCTCTGTGCATAATTATTCCCCTTATCTGTAAAGGGGACTAATAATGGTATCTCCCTCATATGTTTTTTTGGGGGGGATTAATTAGTATCATAGAGAATGACTAAATCTGTACTCTGAAATGGCTTAGTTTTTAGTTAAATTGGTCATTTTAATATAACAACCAATAAGGATCGAGAAAGCATTCAATGTGTAAAATATTAATATTATTATTTTTACATCTGAGTCTCTTGTCAACCCCAGGAAGTAGATTGGGATTAGTTTCCCCATTATACAAATGAAAAAAAAAAAAGGTCAATTGAGTCGAGTGATTTAACATCACTGGGTACTGTACACATAAGAACTGGGACATGAATCTAGGTTTACTGGCTTCAAGTACAGTATGCTTTTCCTCGAATGGTTCAGAGGCAAGGTTTCTAAATTCAAAGACCTTGTGTCTAAAAAAAATCTATCGGGTAGCTTTGTACTCCAAAGCCATTTCTATTTCTGGTTTGAAGTAATCTGTTGGACCATCGGCAAGAAACATGATGATGCAAGGGGCATTAGAATAGGATTAGAAGCTGGAAGGTACAGGCAGGTAGAACATCCTCAGTAAGTAGTTGAGGCAAATTCTTGTGGGCTTAGGAACTGGCCAGGCTCTGGAGCACATTCCTACAGAGGTGAGCGTACATTACAGACCAGTTCAGGAGACAAATACTCAGAATCTCCTGGGTGGCTCTGTCGGTTAAGCGTCCGACTTTGGCTCGGGTCATGATCTCACAGTTCGTGAGTTCAAGCCCCACATCGGGCTCTGTGCTGACAGATCAGAGTCTGGAGCTTGCTTTGGATTCTTTGTCTCCCTCTCTCTCTGCCCCTCCCCTGTTCGTGCTCTGTCTCTCTATTTCTCCCCCCAAACAAGTAAAAATTAAAAAGAACTAAAATTAAAAAAGAAGACAAATACTCAGATAGTCTCAGGGAGAGTCAGGCCATCAGTGTCTTGATACTGCCCACCTTCACTAGTGCATTCTCTTGCTTCTGTTCCTAGTGTATAGAACAGGAGTAATATCTGTGTATCTGCCTCATAGGTGGCCTGTAAGAATTCAAATCTATAAGATGCTCTGAACCTCTCAGAGAAGAAGTGCTGTATGTGTCATTTTCTTAAGATTCAGCAAAAGCCATATCAGAGCCCCTGCTCTGTAGTGCATAACCACTAAAATCTACAGTTTCGGATCAAAAGCTTTGTGGAGCAAACTAGAGTGATATGCAGGCATTATCTGATTTCCTGATAAAGAGCTGTGTGACCTACAATGCTCGTGCAATTCTGACACGGCTGTTCACATTGCTTAAAATGCTTGCCTCCTCTTGGGAGGCAAAGCTAAGACTAAAGCACCACGACTGGCTTTATATTGACAATAATAATGAACTTTATTATCAATGGTACTGACCACTGACACCTAGGATTGAGTCCCCTGACTGATACCAACAAGCTGGTGAACTCAATGAAGCTGTTTGTTACTTTTTGGGCATGACTCTTACCGGTGTCATTGGGATAATTAATACTAGCTCTGCCTACTTCGTGAGGTGGTTGTGAGAATCCAGTATTCAAAGAGATGTGAAAGTGTGTTCTAAAATACTCCAAGAACATAAGCAAATATAATGATTTGTTAGAAGCATGGAAATTATTGCTGAATCACATAACCATAAGATACAGTTACTTTAAAGCTTTGATAATGAAAGCGAGAAGTGACTCAGTGAATATGATACTAAAGATAAAAGATGAAAACACACAGGAGGAATTTTCTTAAGAAACCCAAGGGACGCCTGGGTGGCTCAGTCAGGTAAGCATCCGACCCTCGATTTTACGGTTGTGAGATCAAGCCCCACATTGGGTTCTTTGCTGGGCACGAAGACTGCTTACGATTCTCTCTGTCCCTCTCCCTCTGGCCCTCCCCGGCTTGGGAGTGCTTTCTGTCTCTCTCTCAAAAAAGAAAAAAAAGAAACCTTAAAGAAGTAACTGGTAGGCTTGGGAAGTTACCTAAGAACCCTCTGGTCTACAAGAGCATCCTTTAACTTTTTAAAGTTTATTTCATAGCTCTAGACAGAAGATCCATGAGGGCAAATTCCACATCTTTCCTGTTCATTGTGTGTCATTAGCACAATGTCTACTTAATGTCCCCCTGTGTTGAATACTTACCACATGCTGGCAGTGTGAATGGCAGTTAGTCAGAGTCCTGAAACTGAGTTATGGACCCAGGACATCTGACTCCAGAGCATGTATCTTGAGTCACCACACTATACAGTTGAGAAAAAGTTGCTGAATGAATGATTGATTGTAGTAGATGAAAGTAGACAACTGCTGATTATCTGAAGGCAGATCAGCCTCATTTGGGCTTATCTGGGTCAATCTTGCTTTCAACTTCTTTTTAGTGTCACCTACCTTCATACGGCAAGTTGACACCATGACCTTTCCCTTTAGTCTTGTCATTTCTTGCCTCCAGCATCTGTAAAATATAAAAAGGAGGTCTTTTAAATGGACATGTCTAATAACCTCCCCTACCTTAACCCATGGAAAGTGTGAGCCTGAACAACATTGAGCCCAGAGAATGAAAGCAACCCAGATTCAGCTCCTTTTCTGCATAATGTTGAGAGTCGGTAATGGGCCTTGTCCTTCCCCAGTAAGGGTCGGTGGTAATGGTGGGGTGAGCAGAGCATGGGTGTGACAAAAGGAAGCTAGAGAGATTTTTACCTCTTCTTTTAGATAGGTCTTCACAGAGCACTTTCTTTGTGCATTCCTGTAATACCAGATAAACTGATATTTCAATGTAAGTAGGAAAAATATATGTTTCAGAGCTAAAGACAAATAGTTTCCATATTCTCTGTAGTTGTGCATCATTAGTGGCTCTGCTTCTTTCAATTAACATGGATAATTGGAACTTTGCTATAGTTGGTTTTGCACAGTGCTTTTCTTAGTGCTTTGAGTTTAAATATATTGTTAATTTAACTGTATTGTTTTTTTTTCATTTCATTCATCCAGAAAGTATTTGTGGAACACCTGTTCTAGGACATGTTCTCCTGCAGGAACTTATAATCCAATAGGTGTATATCTGACATGAACATATTACATTTCCAGACAGTAAAGAAATGACACTTGAATGCTAGATGGCAAGTGCTTTATGGCTGAAGGAAAATGAACGTATTTTTAATTGAATGACTTTAGAGATGGTTCCTAGAGAAGGCTACCTCTGAGTGGGGCCTTGATGGAAGTGTAGGGTTTGGATAGATAGATGTGGGGGCAGTGTATTCTATGTGGAGAGATGGCTGGCTGGGAGGAAGGAGAATTCATGAAATACAAGGTTGGAACTAAAAACAAGAGCTATCATTTATTAATCCTTTATTTTTATTAGATAAATTTATAGGTACTTTATATAGAACACTAGATTTAATCTTGTGAATATTATTATGAAGGGAGTATTATAACCCAGTTGGAAAGAAGAGAAACCAGAGATTCAGTGATGAGGCCAGGTCAAGATTTAAACCCAGTCTCAGGTCCTTATAAGCTTTCTGTCCCACTGTTGAGGAAGTCTCAGACTGTGGGAGTCTCAATCACCAGGCTAATGAGTATATACTCAGTTTGGCACCCTGATATCTTCATGTATGACTATTCCCGTTTTCAGGTGAGGACCTGAGGTTCAGAGAGAAGCCCTGGTCCCACAAAAGACTGGGGATGCTGAGTTCAGCTAGAGGATGAGAGCAACTGACACGAGAGTTCCAAACCAACTCAACTTTCTCTATTTTGCAGGTTAAGTCCCTGCTGCTGTTGATGTTGGGGCTCACCCTCCTGAGGGAGGTGACAGCCCGGAAAAACCCTAAAGCAGGGGATACAGCCCTGTGCCCTCCCCTGGAGGATAACAGCGTGAGGGTTGACATTCGCATCCTCAGGCAAAACCAGGGGGGTATTTCCATCTCAAATGATTTCCAGAACCGCTCCAGTTCCCCCTGGGATTACAAGTAAGTGCAAATGAGACTGATCTTCACGTTCTTTTGAAAAACATGTTTATTTATTCTAATCATAAAGTAGAGAATTTAGAAAATATAGAAAAAAATAAAAGCCCTAATATTTGCTCTTAAAAACAGAAATCCCACTTTGCCTGGGAGCTCACAGTTTGCTTTTCTGGCTAGGTCCTCCTGTGTGGTCAGAGGTCCTACTGTTTTGCTTGTAACTTCTCATTGACTCTCTGCCTTTGCCTGCTCCACGCAGCCCTGGGTTGGTATTTACAAACTTTCTGTCTTGGAAGAGGGGGCTCTTTAAAGCAGCCCACGTAATAATCTTTGCATCTGAATAAGTGGGAGCCAGGAAAGTCCGTTTGGAGTGCTCCACTCAGATTAGACATCAGCCTGCAAGGAAAGGTGAGGAGGGCAGAGTGAGAGGCCCGTTTGGGGATGGGATGTCTAGGGTACTGTCCTGTGATGCTATCTGACGTGCCGGATCTTGGAATAGCAAGGTCTCATCTACATGCTCCAAGTATGAAAACAGATTCCAGGGACAATTAGAAGGGCTTCTGGGGCTGCCTGAATTGCTTCCCACAGGAAAGGAGTGGCAAGTTGGCTGGCATGGCTTTGCTGCCTTTGTGTCCCCTGGCAGAGCGGGTATTCAGGAAGAAACTGAGAGTATGTGGTGCCTTCACAGACCTCTGGGGCTTTGGTTTACCTCTCCAAGCAGCAGGCTTTGTAGACTGTATATTAGACTGACTAGTCATGTTCCATATCTAGGCAAAGGATGAAAACTAAATAATAGCAACAGGGCAATGAAAAAGAAAAGATCTGACATTTATTGAATGCCAATATTTCAGTGTAGCGTTTTGTGTGCATTTGTATCACTGAATATTCTCAACCATTCCATGAAAGAGACCTATGAGAATCTCCATTTTAGAGTGGAAGAAACAGGCTTTGGCAGTTAAACACCTGCCGGAGGGCAGTGTATGAATCCAGGCCAGCTGGCTACAGCCCTGGGTTGCTGGGAAATGCCTCCCTGCAGGTGAGCAGCCAGCGCTACGGGGCTCTCACTTTTGTCCATCTCCATCTCCCTTGTCTCACCACCTGCTTTCATCTGCTCCTCCTGCAGCATCACCCGGGACCCCAACCGGTTCCCCTCGGAGATCGTGGAGGCCCAGTGCAGGCACTCGGGCTGCATCAACGCCGAGGGGCAGGAAGACAGCTCCATGAATTCCGTTCCCATCCAGCAGGAATTCCTGGTCCTGCGGAGGGAGCCCCAGGGCTGCTCTCGCACCTTCCGCCTGGAGAAGGTGCGGGTGACTGTGGGCTGTACCTGTGTCACCCCCATCGTCCGCTACGTGCGCGCCTGAACGGCCGCTTGGCTGAAGAAGCTGGAAAATGCCATTCCTTACCCAGCGCTCTTCAGCCAGTCCCGTGCGGTCCCAATTTTCTCCACTTCATAGGCCTCTTGATAAGACCTGTGCGGAATTCTCAAAGCTCTGTAGTAGGTATAGTGTTAGGTTTCTGGGGCGCCTCCAAATCATAGCATAGTCCTGAGCGGTTCCACTGCCCCAGCCCCCTGAAAATGGCCGGAGGAGAATGAAGGCGCCCTTGGCCTGCTCTGTTTACGTGCAGCGATGACCACTTCCTAGCCACATCAACACTGTGATACGGTGCCACTCCCCGAGAATTCTGTTGGCAAATTGGGGCTCTGTGCCATGTGGATGAAAATGTAAAAAATACAACCACAATGTAAGAGTGTGTGGGAGGGACTGTGCAGGGTGGGGTGGGAAGGATGGGGATAAGGATCTAGGGCATATGTTTATTAAACATTTGCTAAACACAGAAGTTGGCCTGATACTTACATTTGTAAGGAAACTCTCTGTATATTTATGATATATTGGTTATATAAAATTTTAGGAGAAAAATTAACATATCTAGTACTAATGTAATAAAGTATTCATGATTGAAAAATACTTTAGGTGTTTGTTTCCAGTCTTGACCTATACTCGCAGAGCTTATAACCATAAAGATTTTGAAATTCTATATACTTATTTGTTTTTTACATTTCCTCATCAGTTTTTCATCAGAGGCTACTGTTAGAGTTATTATTATTAGTGTGTATGTGGCAGTGTGTGTGTGTGAGAGAGAGAGAGAGAGAGAGAGAAAGAGATCTTGGAGACTTTTTTCTCAGCTTTATTGAGGTATAATTGACAGATAATATTATGTAAGTTTATGGTATACAGCATGATGATTTGTCTCTCTCTCTATTTCTCTCTCTCTATAGTGAACTGGTTACCACAGTAAGGTAGTGAACACTTCCATCACCTGATATAGTTACCTCTGTGTGTTTATGTTTATGGAGAACATTTAAGATCTCTCTGCAAATGGCAAGCATACAATAAATACAGTATTGATAACTATGGTTACCACACTATACATTAAACCTCCAGAACGTATTCGTCTTATAAATAAATTCATACTCTTTGACCAACATCTTCTCATTTCTCTGCCCCCACCCCCCAGCTTCTGGCAACTACAGTTCTCTCTGTTTGTATGAGATGGAGAGTTATTTTATTATTAAGGGTACTTGGGGGATACATGGGGAATTAAGGAAAATGGTGTAAACAGAACTGAGTTTCCCTGGTAACTCTTTACTGCTCCGTCTTCCTGGCTACATTATTGTACAAAGTGAACATTTACTGGCCACTGTGCTAGCCACTGGGGATGCAAAGACAAATGCATATGGAAGGGCCACAGTGTTGGGACTGGCCGTCCACAGAGGCTCTGGTCATTGGAGCCATGCAATCCTTTTGCATCGTCCTCATTTAGATTTCTGGGACTTTTAGGGTCAGTGGTTGTCCTTCATCCATATCTTATGCTTCTTGGGGGGGGTGGGCACGGCACAGGAGCCTCCAGATTCTGGTCTCCATGCCACTCTGGGGAAAAGTCAGAGGTTCTCTCATCCCTCCTTTGCCTCAACATGGCACAGCACATTTTCTCCTTAATGCTACCACTGGCTCAGAATACATCTGCATTGTTGCTACTTTTCCAGGTCCGAGGGAGAAAGTGGGGCCTAACTTCTCACTCCCACCTGAAACTTGGCTTGAGGATAGGCTGGTGTCAGAAACCTGATACCTATCTTTAACTCTAGTTTGGATAACTTTCTTCTAGTCTAGGCGAGAGTAGAAATGGAGTAGCTGGGTAGGCTGGCTCTTCAGCTCTTGGCTGTATAATCTTTTGCTAATGGTATAAATATTGACATTTGTACTTAAAGTGTTCAAGCTCTTGAAATCTAGAAAAGATTTTCTGTCCTATCTATCAACTTCATAATTTTGCTATGAATCTCACAAGTCCATGTTGGTGTTCAAATTTGTGCAATGAATCCTTTCTCTGCTGATTATGGCACTAATTGCCCTATCCTGAGGGTAGTACTATAAAAAGTACATATAAAAATACATATAAAAAAGGGTAGGAGAAGTATACAGAGGAAGGAATTTGAAGAGGAAAAAAAAAAAATCACACCTCTGAGTGTATCAAGATATTATTACCTTGTTATATACATGTACACATGTAATTTCAAAACAATGTGCTAAATACTATAATCAAGGTAGGAAATGATAAGAAGACACAGAGAGTGATAGCTATCCAGGACATTTCAGAAAGGAGAAGATTTGCGCTGAAATGAATCTGAGTTGGTCTAGTGGAAAACGGGAGATGGGCATTCATAGCACAGGGAACAGTATAAGCAAACACAGAGGAACAAAGAAGCCTGGCATGTTAGGGGAACAGCAAGTAGTCCCATGTGCTCGGGATAGTGTGGACAGGGGGACATGGTGGGGAATACATATTTCTTGAAAGAATAATTGAATGAATGAATGAACATGGTGGTAGGCAAAAAACAGTAGGCAAATGGGGGCACCTGGGTGACCCAGTTGGTTAAGTGTTTGACTTTGGCTCTGGTCATGATCTTGTGGTTTGTGGGTTTGAGCCCCACGTGGGGTTCTGTGCTGACAGCTCAGAATGTGGAGCCTGCTTTGGATTCTCTCTCTCTCTCTCTCTCTCTGTCCCTCCTCTGCTTGTGTTCTCTCTCTTTCTCTCTCTCAAAAATAATTAAAACACATTAAAAAAAAGAAATAAAAAAAAAGAACAGTAGGCAAACGGTCCACTTGTGAAAGGTTTTGTGTGCTCTATTACAGATGTGATGAGCATAGCTGTATCTCATAAGGTAATTTTGGCAGTAGTGAACAAACGGGATCAGAAACCTGAGGCCAGTGAGAAGACCAGAGAGGTGACAGCTCCTCTCAGAGCTGGATGGGATCCTGCAGATCACCTGGCTGGCCTTTCTCATTTGCACATGAGGCCCAGAGCAATGAGGCAACTTGCTCAAGGTCACTTGGAGTAGTTACTGGCAGAAACAAATTTAATGACTCCAGGTTCATGATTTTCTATGTTGGATTTGCAGCACTCAGTAATGTTTCCGGTAAATACTCACATCAGTCATTTCTCTGTGCAGCCTAGGGCTGGCCCTGGGAGCCAGTAAAAAGGACTTCCACATCTCACACCTCCAAATACATGGTATGTGGTGCCCCCTGGGGTCTGGGGCCCAAGTTACAGCTTGGGCTGCGGGCTGGCTGTCATTCAGGAAATTGCACATCCTCTCCAGCTCACAAGGTGGCACACTGTACCCAGAAGTAAATGGCTCCCTTTTGGGGGAATCTGTCTTTGGCAACCACTTTGAGACACTGCTGAGCAGCCTGTGTTCCTCAGCGCTGAGTCTAGCTTTCTGGGCCTCAGAGATCCTTTGTTTTGAATGCAGGAGAAATGGTCTACGTTGAGCAGTCCAGATGTTCAAATACAGCATTGCCACCATAATGTGTAGAGAGAGGAACTTTTCTTTCCACATGAAACTGGAAAACATATAGTCTTTTCTTTGATATCTAGTTCTCACTTATGATAGCTGGGCTGAGGGGAAATACATATTCTCTCTGTCTCTCTTTCCTTCCCTCTCCTTCTCTCTTTCCCTCCCCTACTCCCAAATCTGGATAAAAATCACCCTTATTTGTAATGCTTCACAGGAAAAATATCACTTGCAGTTTACAGTGAGGAAGATGATTACAAAATTGGTTTTCTTATTTTTTCCTAAGAGAAGTGGTAGAAGAAATGCATTTAATATTTAGACAGCTTTTGGTTTTGAATCCTGGTTCTACCATTTTCTGGTTATATGAATGTAGGCAATTTCGTCTTTCTGAGACTCAGCACCCTCTTATGTTAAATAGGGAATAATACCTATGTTAAAGAGTAGAATGTAAAGTAATTAAAATAAAAAATGTAAAAGACTTAATACAGTACCCAGGAAATGGTAGGTACTCAGTACCTGGCAGTCATTATCCCAAGAGGTACAAAACTTATGTTTCCTATTTGCTTGGCCCCAGGAAACTCACAACCAACTTTTATGTTTAAATACCACAGCTATATTATTCCTCACGGTTATTAAATTTATACTCTCCATTTAATCTCTACACACACATACACACACACACATAATTTAAGGTGATTTAAACAAAGGATTTAAACATGTTAATGTTATTATATAGATCTTTTAATTCACTTACAATTTTTTTTAATGTTTATTTTTGAGAGAAACAGAGACAGAGCATGAGTGGGAAGGGGCAGAGAGAGAGGGAATCACAGAATGAGAAGCAAGCTCCAGGCTCAAGCTGTCAGCACAGAGCTCGATGCAGGGCTCGAACTCAAGAACCGCTAGATCATGACCTGAGTGGAAGTTGAACGCTTACCTGACTAAACCAACCAGGTGCCCCCACTTTAAATTAATTTGAAAAGAATAGAGGAAACTACATATTTAATACATTAAAAAAGTCCCCTTGGCCCCAAATATTCATTGTAGCCTACTCCACTGATGTCAATTGGAAGAGAAGTATTTTTTGATCCAGTAAGTCCCTGGAGTTGTACATGTTCAGCAGGACTTCCCTCAGGGTACAAAAGAACACACATTTTCTCCAACACTGAGACATTTTTTCTGGCACCCTGTTTGGTGATAAAAGAATCACTGAAAAAATGGTAGTTTCTGACCCTTGTTTGTGCATCTCCAAGTGACTACAAAAACCCAATCCCTCCTCCTTAAAGAGTAGCCAAGACAACAGAATTCCTTCAGTTAGCGAGAGAACTCAGGTTTGTGGTGTTGGCCCGAGGGTGGTGAGAAGAAACATTCATGTATGGGGGATTTTCCTTCATTTGTTCCTTATATTTGTGAATATGGCAATCAGGGGGGTTGTACTTACCAAGTCATAACTCTGCATCTTCTTATATTTGTGGGAAGATTAAATTGCATTTAAAAGTAATAGAACCC